TTGTTATCTCCAGGAGGTAGGATATGGCTGAAAAATGGCTCAAGTTTCTGTGCTAGCTTCATCAGCATGACTCAGCTTTGCATAGGTAGCTAACTCTTGGAACTGATATGGTTTTTCCCTAGTTGTGAACTGTCTGCTGTTTCACACAGATCGTGATTAGCCTCTAAGTAATGAAGGCATTTTGGTGCTCCCAGCCCTACCAATACTCAAACCACAAAAAGAGAAGGGAAATGCTTTGTGTTCCATTTTGTTCAATTTTCCACTCAGGGTTGTTTTTTCTTTGGGGTTTTTTTATTTATTTTTTTTTCCCAATATTCAGGCAACTTAGAAACAAAACAAAAACTGAAATAGCAAATTAATATGCTGAGGAAAGGAAAAATTAGACAAAAGCAATTAGTGTGTGCTTTTGATGCACTTAGGGTTTTTTCCTCCATTTAGCACTTGCTCATATTCCCCTCACCCTCTGACAGTGACAAAACAATGTAATGAAGCTGAGAGCTCTTTGGGTAGCTTTGGGTGTGACTTTCAAATTTTAAGCTCCTTATCTCTGACTTGATGCACTGACTCCCTTTCCCTAGAGTGTCTGGAGATGCTGAACCTTTAAGTTTCATTATGAAAAAGCAATAAAGCATTTCAGCTATGAGGGTTAAATCCATAGATGAATCACTTGGGACCGATCTATTACAAGAAAGCTGAACACTTTTCAGAAGAGGAAGACAAGAGGATGCTTAAAAATGGGACCATTCTGGACTCTATTGTACATTTTTATTCTAGTTACATTTGCCTGGAGCTTGTTTTTCCACAGATTTCATGATTAGCAGAAATTTTTCAAAATTAGCTTGCAGAAAATTTCTCTTTTTTACTCATGAAGTAGTTGGGATGTGTGGATAATAAACACTGAGGATTGCCAGATTTCTTTCTTCCTACAGTTTTATACTTAACCTATTCTCTGATGTTTCTTTCTCTTCTTGCTTTAAAAGTGGTTAAAATACCTGGGGAAACCTTAGAAAGTATCCCTCACTGTAGTTCCTGTATACCAAATAATTTTATAAATAAAGCCACTGGTGTAAACTTTGACTAAATTTCCTGTTCCTAGTGAATAAGGATCCCTGGCTTCAGGCAGCTGGATCATGTTTAAACAGGCATCTGTTATTACAGACAAAAAAAATAGTCACTTGCTGTTTTGTTTTGTATACATTTGCACTTAATGCCATTAATTATATAACTAAGTGCTTTCGTTAAAGCACAGAAGCCATCCCATCTCGTAGATGTGTAATGAGCTGGTGAAGCCAGAGCTAAGGGCACAGCAGTGCTGAGTAATGGGCTTAACAAATCTTTATGTAAGGACTTTAAAGAAACATGCAGGCTTTAAACTATATATAGCAGTTTCCAGTTTACATTTACAAGAATGGCTTATTAGTTTAGCTATATTTAAAGCTGATATAAAATTAATTTCTAATTCTTCAATTCAAATTCATGGAACTTTCCTACCCTGCTTCTTGTAACTGTCTCTTTATAAAGTTATGCTTCTGCAGGAATAATCTTTTTCTGTTCGAAGTTGGTTGACATTGAATACATGAGGTCAGATCTGGGGAACTGGATTTCTGACAAATCGACCTTTGCTGGATGCTTTTGCAGTTCAAGGCTGGACACGTTGTAACAATATTACTTGATTTACGTGGATTGTCTTTTCACAGAATCACGGTGTAATTTGGGGGTTGGAAGGGACTTCTGAAGGTCATCTGGTCCACGCTTTCTGCTGAAGCAGGATGACCTAGACCAGGCTGCCCAGAACCATGTCTAGATGGCTTTTCAGTATCACCGAGGAAGTAGATTTCACAACTGCCTTGAGCAACGTGTGCCAGTGCTCAGTCACCCTCATTATAAAACAGTGTTTCCTGATGTTCACAGAGAGACTTCTGTGTTTCAGGTTGTGCCCATTGCGTCTTAACTTTTCACTGTGCACCACTGGAAAGAGCCTGACTCAGTCCTCTGCACCTTCCCTTCAGAAATTTACATGTATAAGATCCCCCTGTGCCTTCTCTTCTTTAGGCTAAACAGTACCTAGTTCTCTCAGGCTCTCCTCACATGTCACATACTCCAGTTTCTTCATCATCCTTGTGGTGCTTCCCTGGACTGTCTACAGTTATATCCATGTATCTGTTGTACTGAGGAGACCATAACTGGGCACAGCACTCCAGGTGAGGCCTCACCAGGGCAGAATAAAGTCACAGTAGACCTTTTACCTTTTTCAGTGGAATAACCATTTTTGTCCTGTCTTCTAAGCCCACTTGTTCTGGTATAGTGGTGCAGGAGATGCTGTGTAGGACTAATCCTTTTGTTTGCCCTGGTAAGAGTTTTTACTGTGGGGGCCAAAACCACACATTACTTCAATAATTGTGAGCTTGGCAACGGTGAAATAGGAGAAGGCCAGAAAAAAGAGGGAAGCAGCGTTTTAGTGGAGTAGACAGAGCTAATTGTTCTGATTATAAATTCTGTATTGTACTCAGGCAAATATAATAGCCATTTATTATTTGCCTCACTTTTAAATCCTCTGCTCTCTGTGTAATTTATAGTTTTGCCTGGCTTGACTCATCTTGAAAAATAATTGTGACTATTCACCATAAAGCACCAACTAACTACACCTTTGACGGTGACACTACTGTTATAATTTATGTATTATCTGGAATCCAAGAAATTATAAGTACTGTAGAAAGCTGTCCAACTGTTAGCACTGTGATTTTTCGGACAACTTCTCGTGGGTACAGGAGCATCAATGATCCCAGCAGTCTACTCCCACCACTGTGATGGAGGTGCATTTACTCAACACATTCATATGGACCTGCCTGCCCAAGGACAGGGGAATGGAGGGGTGGGTAGACAGAAAGCAAAGGAGGCATAATATGTTATCCAGTACCGGCTCAGCGATGTCCATAAGCACAGAGATGTTACAAAGCGTTTAATCTATTATGTTCCTGCCCCAAGCATTGAATGCAGTCCCTAAGAAGAGGGTTGGGATGCTCTCTCTGTATCGCCCTTTCTTCATTATTTCCAGAAAGATATTTTAAAAATATCTGTCCAAAGAACAGGAACCATTTCCCCACCCCTTTCAGATTCTAAGTGATGTTCCGACATTACTAATTTAATTCAAGATCAGCCATACAAAGTGCTGTTAGTGTAATGCCTGATAATGGTTCAGAGCAGCTGAAGGTGCCTTAATGCAAATATCATGTTGCAGGAAGCAGCTTTACAATAGCTGCTTTGTTGCTGCTTAGATGTAGACCATTGTTTTCTTGAGCAGCAAATACAGTGTTTGTATTTTTTAACTGATAAAAGAAACCAGAAATGGAACCACCAAGCTTTGAAAACTGTTTTTCTTACATATTGCTGATAGTACAAAATATATTAAAAACTAGACAACAGGCCTCTATCGAACTCTCTGTGATTTTATTTTACAGATTGTAAGTCTAAACCCATTTGGCTGAAGGTATATAGAATGTTATTGGTAAAATTATGCCCATTGTAAATAGAAAGTGCTTTCAAAATTACACTGAATTTTATGGCAATTTTGTTTCCTTTCAAAATATTAAAATTGTTCAATTTACACTTGACTGTGTAAATTTCATCAAAGTAATTTCAAGATGTCTATATACATATGTATATATATGAGGATGTGTATATTTTGAGAAGCCAAATTATTGTAGTATGTGTGAAAATCCCAATTTATGGCAAGACCTATGTGGTGACAGACTGAACAGGGACCTCTTGTTGTCTCCTTCATTTCTCACTCAAAAAAAGTCCTATAATTTTCTGAACAGAGCAGAAACATTATTCCAGTAGTTGGCCATTTTTCTTCCTATTCAGACTTTCTTTATTCCTTGGGATGTTTTAGGACTTACGTTGTTTGCCTTCAACTTTTAAGACAGTATATGCTCACTCTTTCCCAATATATACTGCATTAAAAGTGGTTTTTTATTGCCACTACCTCTATTTCATTACTTTCCAATATACTGCAATATTTGCCTTTGGTAACTCTCTTTTCCAAAATCAGCAATGACTTCTTGGCTACTTGACAATGGTGAAAATTTTCAAAGTAACTTAATAATCTAAATTAAATCTGCTTTATTTATTTATTTTTTAAGGCCCTTTGACTGTCTTTCTCTTTCTTGATTGGTCTCCTGCTTTGTCAGCATGTGAACCATTAGCACCTGAGTCCCCTCAAGACTGAGGAGCTTTCTTATTCTTATGTTACATCAGTGGTCTTCCAGTGGTTCCTGTAACACGTCCTTTGCATTGTATTGTACAATTTCTCCTTGTCTGTTTAGAGTTTAGAATATTTAGAGTGATATATAAATAATAATATTTGGAGCAGAGAGCTTTAAAAAAGGTAATATGTAATTGAAGAAAAGATACTGACTTTGGTTTGTAGAAGAGAATAAACAGGACTTCAAATATGAGTACGTGCAATGAGATAAGATTACTAGTAAAATCCAAATTTACATGTCAGGAAAATAGTTTTAAGGATAATTGCATCCATTTGATTTTGATTATGTCTGTATACAGGTTCAGCTGTCTTCAGTGAATGCACTTTAAACATCCCACTTAAGTTAGTTGATCACAGCACTGTGTAAGCATTCAAAAGAAAGCATGCCTTCTGGATAAATGCAAATAAGAAGGTTTGAACAACTGACCTAGGGCCTTAATTTTGAGAGGGGAGGCTAGAGGAATGCACCTTGCTTTTCTGTGTCCAGTAGTATTGAAGACATGAGTAATATAAATAAATATTACTTTAAAAGATAAAAATAGTCAGGAGTTTTCAGCAATAAATGCATCTGTTATTGCTTAGTGGCATTTCACAACATCAGGTTACAGGTTAGAATCAATAATGACCGTGGTGGAAGGATGGACACAAAGTGCAGAGTCTTGAGTGAACTTAGCATAACTTAATCCATATTATAATGTCATGCTATATAATAGCAAACAATCTGTGGTGTGTATTTGCACGAATAAGATTTTTGAATCCACTAAAACCTGGAAATTCCAGCAGAATGCAGATTGTTGTTGGAGCCAGGGTTATATTATGATTTAATGACTTTTCTGGGCTTCATTTGATGACCTGGCCTAGAAAAACATTTTGAAGTAATAAAGCGTCTGTTTGGCTCCAAACTAATGAGAGAAGAATTGCTCTTTGCATAAACTGTTCTTTAGGAAGAGCCATGGAGAGCTACTAATAAACCTTATTAAAATGCTTAAGCAAGATTGAAGGAAACAGAAACCAGAAAACTATTCTGTTCCATGTGAACTGATTACATCAAAAAGAAAAAAAAAAGGAGGAAGGAAAAAAAAAAAAGAAAAAACAAAAGCAAGCCTACAGGGTTTTTGCCTCCCCTCCATGTGACTTGCAGCTTGCTGCACTTCAGTTACGTCGCCTCTGAGATATGTTAAAGTGCAGCTCAGTTTAATGAAGAAGTGGATAGGACAAATCAAGGCTAGAGACTATTTACAGCCGAGACTGGGTAAGTAAATGCAGCTGTAGATAAGTGTTTACTAATATTGTGCAAATGTTGCAATGTCTAGCCTGTAGCGTTTAAAAGAATATTCAGAGCTATCATTTTTTGGTGGTCCTTTCTTTATTTTACTTAAGTAATTTGCAGGTGTTGGTGATATATACTATGCAACAGATTTATGCAAAAGACTGAATAGGATTTAATTTTATTTTTCAGACTTCCTGCAACAAAACAAATAACTTTCCTTAAATTTCTTGTACTTACTTTGTTTTAAATTCTTTGCTATGTAAGTAACTGCTTTGTCTATTTTAGTGCAGTGCTCAAAATAATTTCGGTGGGAGTTAGCTGATAGTTTCTGATGCCTTCCTGTTATTTTGATTGTTTTTCTACTGTTAGGGAGAGAGGAGAGCAGCTTATATTCTGTACTTCCTTGATACAGTATTTTCAGATTTCTAGAACCCTATTCCAGACCACTGAAAAATCCCCAGCATCAACTTGTTCCAGGAGTTCATTCAACCATCCTAGTAGGATATTATTTCAGCTGTTTGTTTTTGTTCTCTGTGTATTTTTCTAAAGATTTGTATGTGTTCTTATACTGAGTTTGATATAGAAAGTTCTGTTTTAAATTTTTGTATGTATAAATTTGTGTAAATTTAATATCAATATCCAAGATAGAGAAATACGATGACAGCTTTTGTTGTTGTTTAAGACTTCTAGGATTTTGATTTTGATACGGTTTTGTCTCTGGCCATTGGAATGGACCTTGCAGTTGCTATAATGCTGTTATGAAATAGGATTGCAGTCTTAGGCAATTAGTAATTTCCAGAATGGCTGTTTTAGCAGTTTCAGTGCCTGCCATTTGAGTAATTAAATCTCAGTGGATAGACAAAGAGCTGAGAAGGGGGAATGATCAATGTAGAGTCTAGAGACCTATACCAAAGGCTGATTTGAATCTTGGGAACTGAAAAAGGAAAAGCAAAGCCTTTTGTTGCTGGTAGTGCATTAAAGAAAATATTTTAAAGCATTTAATATCTTGTGATATAGGGTGTGTTGTCCTTTCGCATCATCTCACAGGAAAGAGTACATTAAATATTGTCTATCATGATTTTTACTATCTGTATTAATCGGTATGTGTTATCTTTTTCAGATAATCACTCCATTTCGGAGGCTAATACTGTGTGCTGAGAACAGAAAAGAAATGGAGGACTGGATAAGCTCTCTGAAGTCTGTTCAGTCCAGAGAACACTATGAGGTAAGCTGACGTCCCAGTTGGTGCAACCTGTTCTAGCTCAACAGATCAAGCTACAGGACACAGAACTGGAGTATTCACCCTCCTTAGTGCGAAAAGTGTGTCTCATGTCAGAGTGAAGCTTCATGTTAAGAACTTCCCTAGCAAAATGAGAGCTTATTATCATACTTTTGTTTAGAATTTTGGAGGGAGAGCATGCTAAATATCCTCTGGAAAATACTTTTGATGAACATTGCATTCTTGTGCCCTGTAATATGGAACCGTACGTAATTTCAGTCACCGTAGCTGTGTTCTGTACTTGCAAATTTGTCTTAACTTCTCCTTTACTAGACCGCACAGTTTAATGTGGAACATTTCTCAGGGATGCATAACTGGTACGCCTGCTCCCATGCCCGACCTACCTTTTGTAACGTGTGTAGAGAGAGCCTCTCTGGAGTCACTTCTCACGGCCTGTCTTGTGAAGGTAAAATAAATGTTTTCTTCCCCCTGTTTATTATGTCACATGTGTAGACAGATGGCTGCAAGTTCAATATGAGTAATAATTCTGAAAACAGTAAGAAAAAAAGCCTAAAGGGAGAAATCTATTCACTAGAAGTGACCTTCCTCTGGGCAGAGGGACTGCTAATGATCTGGCTCACCTTCGTGCTCTAAGGGCCTTTTTCAATAACACAGTTTCCTTCTGTTGCAGCAACCAGTTTGAAGTGTACTGGGTGGATGGTTTGCACATAAAAAATGTGGAACAAAATATTCATTTGCAGAATCAGCATTTCTCAGGAAAAAAATCATAAGGGTAGTGTCTGCCCAAAAGCTATAAAAATTCTTAACATTTTGTTCAATGTTACAAACTCATCCTCTCCAGTTCTTGTTTTCTCTGTTGCTGTTGCCGGATTCTGCAGTACATGCGGGTTAGATGAGGGCAGATTTATTGTTTCAAAAATTCTCTTGTGCAGTGGGGGGGTAGAGATGTAGATAACTGCATTCTGGTGGTTCAACAGGTGAAATCTAGCATGAAGAAAAAGGAGATGTGGCTAAGACTTCAGCATCAAGCTTATCTAGAGAAATGATATTTCACGAACGAATAATTATAATAAGCCTGAAACAGCTCATTTATTTTTTCCTGCAAGTTTGATGGAAAAATGGTAACAAGTCTGCTTGTGTTACAATCCAGCAGAAAGTAAAGCATCCCTGTGACCTTTTGATATCTAGGAAATGTAGAGATATTTCATTACTAATATAGGTGATTGCCCAGAAAAGAGTTGCAGTTCTACCATCCATAACTTGACTTCTGGATGCATGTAACCCAACAGCAAGTTTATTTCAGTTATTGATGCTGTTATAATACTTGAGGTCTGAGCATAGTCATGTGTATTAAGGAAATCTTAAAAAGGAAGCATTAACCCACTGTCTTGAATCGTCCATGCTTTTAAATGTAGCTAATGGTACAGTTGCCAAGGAACAGGGCAAACCTGTTTCATAGAAATTAGGAGTAGCATAGTTACTTCCAGCTTCTCTGGTGTATGTTTTCCACTGTGTATAAGTCCTTTGGACAGTTTTAAGGAAATTATGGTTTTCTCAAGTCTGATATTGGCAGGTGGAAGTATCATGTGCGTAACTAAAATGCAGTTGTATTGGCTCTGTGTACAAATACAGTTATACTTGCTGAGGCAAAGAAAAGGAAAGACTTTCATAAAGAATTTATCCATTCATAAGTTAATATTGTAGCTATTTTAAAAGATTGTTTAGCAAGAATTATTCTTGTAAGATTGTCAGTGATAATGTTTGTAGTTCACCATTTTGTTTTTTCAGTGTCTAATTTTGCTTCCAAGTATGATTTTAGTATATAAAGTGTTGGCATTAACTTTACATCAGGGAAGTTTCCGTAATTTCCAGGTTTGGAGTTTGTCACCTTTCTACATAAGTTATTACTAACTTATGCTACATTTATCCATATTTCTGATGCCAGTTAATCTTTCAGCAGTTTTTACAAATAGCTTGTGAAGGTGGTTTGGATTTGCTTTTGCTGTTCCACAGTTTCATGATTGTGTATGACTTGGAATATTTTATATGAAGATACTATAATATTCTTTTGTCTGTTAATAAGTGTACCTCCTCTTACTTCTTAGCTACTAGTTTATATCTATTTTCTTTATCTTTTTCCAATTTTTGTTTAAATTAATAAAAGAACTTAGTAATGTATCTAATCTAAATCATTTGACATTTAACTCTTACTGGAATACTCCATACTCGGTCCATAATTCTGTATGCTTTCTTCATCTAATAACTGTATTTTGTTTTGATAATACTTCTTTCTCTGAAATTCTTATGTGACTGAGATCATATTTACTTGCTTCTGCTGTGTGTAATTCTAATGCATTTCACCATCTTTTTTTTTTTTTTTACTTACCCGTGTTAGCAGGATATATGGTTTTAGGAGACAATGTAGGAAGTATGGGGTCTAAAGATTCCTCAGACATGTTCCGTGCTACTTTTTCCTATTACATAATTAAAAAAACCTGTTTAAATATTCATGCCTGGCGTCTGAAACCTCCATCATTGCTTTACGCTGGGAATCCATTTATATCTATACTAAATTCAGTTATTTGTATGGTCATTGATCCCAGGCTACTCTATTATGCCTCTTATTGAGAAGCATGAGAAGTTCCTTCTCAAGAGATACTTGAGCTCTTTCTCCTCTCTGTGGTTTGGTTTACTGGCACATGAAGTTGTCTTGAAAATAGCTTAGAGTCTTTGTGGTCTGATTCTTGACTGCTAACTATACGTAAAAATAAATCCCATTGATATTTTGCAGCTTTTGATACTTTAGAATATCAATCCTGTAATATTTTATTCTCTTAGACTTGATGGCTTCCAGCAGCGCTGCACAACTTTTTTTTTTCAGTCTGACTACACAACAAACCTCATTTCTTTTGGAGATAAGATGGATTACTTCTTTTTTCAGGGTACCTTCTCCCCCAGCAGCCTTTGGCAAAGGCTGATCAAATTAATTGCAGGACACCCTGAAGTGCACCTCTAAATTTTGTGGAAGCCAGTGTAGAAAAAGATGATATGTTAATATTTTTGCTAGGTAAAAGACTAGTGTGAAGTTGCATTTTTTTAGAAGTCAAAGAATTGATATGTATATCAACCTGAAGATGTAAATTATATCAGACCAGGCTTCATTTTTGTTACTGCTCAAAAAACAACCAACTTTAAAAAAATTTATTCCTACGCTCCTTTGAGATGCAATGCTATTCCTCCCACGAGTTCCTTCTTTTGTGTGTTCTCAACAGGTAATCTACTTTTCAAATGTTATCTGTGTGTTCTGTTGCTCTAGCTAGCTCTAAAGGACTGATGCCTGCAATATTCATCCACAGCCTTTACTAGGACAGAGAAATTATGATTTTTTTTGCCTTGCTTTATAAATTTCTCCAAACTAGCTGAATCAAGGAAGGCTTTTGGTTTTTATGCTCTTCAAGTGTTTCTTTTACTCAGAGTTTAACCAGATGAATGGTCAGGAGTCTAAGCCTAAGCAGCTGTGAGGTAAACATGGTATCATGGAATGTTTAGGTAAAGAAGCTAGAGAACAATAGATCATTAGCTACAGAAACTCTCTCAAAACTCTCTGTCCTCAATTACTCTGTATTAATACTGCATTTCTATCCAAGTTGTTGCCAATGGAACACTGCCTTTATGATTATTCTCAAAAATTTATTTCTTCATGTAGCATTTCTTTATGTAGACTGAATCTTGATTGCTGAATGTCAAACATAGCTAATAAGTGGGAGATTGCAGTTTAAATGAGGCTTTCTGCTGTGATGAATTGCACAAACAAACAATGTTGAAAGCACACTTTAGGATCATGAAGTCAATCAATAAGAAAATACTGGGATTAAATTACCTCTGCAAATGCACTTTGTGTACTTGGTATTTTCTCATTATGATTGTCGGGTTTTGCCCACAATACCCTGTTCTTCTTACATATTGCCTAGGGAAATGTACGGGCACTACTTGCACAGTCATTGTCTCTGATATTTTTGTCACATTTTTTGCACAGACTGGAGAGTGAATAGTGAATGAAACAGTCAGGAAAAAAAGGGATGTTCATTTTTAAGAATGAAGGAGTCATAGAAAATTGTTCTGTGACTTTGTAACACACCAAGCCCCTTTGTAGCCCTGAGGAAATAATTTAAAGATTTTTTATCAAATCAGTAGTTGTGTATTGTTTATAATCTGCAACGTGTATCCCAGAAATGCTAAGTTTTCTATGACTGCAAAAATCAGATGAAGCTGTTCTGAAGTCACTGAAACTTTGAATATAATACAGTATTGAAAAAAGTCTTAATTTCAGTATTAGTACTGAGAGTACTACTAATAATAACGATAAAAATAAGAAGGATACTTTTAAAAGGGCAGGAAGATATTAGTATGGGTGTCTAAAAAGCGGTATTTCATTAGCTTTTTGTAAATAATGCAAAACCTGTTGAAAATTATTATGAGTCAGAGTATGGCACAGTTCCATACTTATCTGCCTTCCATTGCATGCAGTGACTGGGGGTCCTATTCTCCAAGTATGTATGATCATATAACCGAAGATTTCACACCCGCATTCAGAAGCTATATTGCAATATTAAGTTTAATGAGTAACTTCCCTTTTTATAGTACTTGAATTTGTAATATGAGTATTCTTTTAGCCCTCTGATTGTGATATTAAATCAACTTAGAATGTTATTTATTTGGTAGAAAATAGTAAAAATTACCAAGAAACTGCTTGTTACACGTTGTAACGAAGACATAAGCTTCAAATTGGGGTTAAGTCAGGTTTCTCTTTTCACTTGAGTCAGTCTGTTTTCACTGTGGCTCGTTCATCCATCATATGATTGTGTTCTTGGGAACAAGATACCAGGTTTCTTAGAATACCTGAAGACAAATTCTGCCATCTTGAACAATCTGAACTATAGATACCAAATCAAAGATCTTCAGATTGGTCTTTGAAGTTGGACAAGAATAGTCTGAGCCCGGTCTTGTTTGAAGAACACAGAAGAGAAAACTCTTCATAAAATAGGTGATAGAGGAGTAAGTTTGAGGAAAAAAAATGAGTGCCCTCTCAACATAATTGAATTAATTGATGGGTGGTTAGAATGAAAGGCCTTCGAGACAGAAGTACATTATAACAAAGGTGTAGATTTTCAGCACAAGAGATCCTATGATAACATTCAGTAATGTTGACTTTTCTTCATTAAGATAGTAATAGCGCTTGATTGATTCCCTGTTTGACAGCAGGTGTTGGTCCCACTGTGGCAACTGTTTGCTAATAAGTGGTTGTGTTGGTTGACTTTCTGAAATACCCACTTCATATCTCTGTTATAAACATTTACATAGAAAATTAAAGTTTAAAATAACATGCTATGAATATTCTAGATTTAGTTTGGCTAAATCTTTCCTTTTCTCATATTTTAACTCATTGGCAAAGTCAAGGCCGTTGATGTCTAGCCATATGTCTGCATGTTTTCTGGAAGATTTCATATATCTGACTGATTCATGAATGGGATGTAGTGTAATCTGAGATAAAAGAAATTAGAGGATAGTGGTAACTAAGATTGAGATTTTCTTTAAAATTTTCCTTTCCTTGCTTAAAAGTTACATCTGTGTCTTAAGGTCAATTCTTTTGGTAATGTTTAATGCTCAGAGTAACATAAAACGTTGTTTGATGGTATGGAGGTTGCAGGGGGGTGACCCACAGAGTCTGATCTGAAATTTGGTAGGTGGGTTATTTACTGTACTTACAAAGCAAACATTAGCTGTCACTTGCCATCTATGGTGTAGCTTGCTGCTGCTCTTCAGATCCTGGGATTGAATTTGTCCTTGCCTTGTTGAGAGAGCAGAGGTTCAATAGAGGGTTCCTAAGATCTAGCTGAATTACAGCTTAATAGGATTTGAAAATTCCATTACTTTGTTATCCCTTTGAAAATTTGTAATTTCCTATTCCTGCTCATCTCTGCTTTGCTGCATTTTGATCTGTGCAGCAAAGCAAATGCATATCATTTATGAGTAGGAAGCCAAATTCAGTGGCAAATCTTCTCCAAAACATTCAAATGGTGAAACTGCTGAAGGTCCATCGCTTGAAAATGCAGCCTTTATTTCTGTGCTTTTATGAGAGCTGACCTCTTTAGATGCTTGGAACCAGCTTAAATTGGCAAACACGCAGGTGTTTAGAAAATGTGAGCCTACCCTGTTACTTGATATTTGAACACTTTGGGTTTATGTTGGTCTTGCTGCAACAGGTCCATGTCCTTCATATGTCCATTCATGGACCTGTTGGAGTGAGTCCAGAGGAGGGTCATAAAGATGATCAGAGGGCTGGGGCAGCTCTCGTATGAGGAAAGGCCGAGAGAATTGGGATTCTCAGCCTGGAGAAGAAAAGGCTTTGGGGTGATGTAGTTGTGGCCTTTCAGTACCTGAAGAGAACCTTCAAGAAAGATGGAGAGAGACTTGTTTTACAAGGGCGTGTAGTAGACAGGACAAGGGGGAATGACTTAAAACTGAGAGTAGATTTAGATATTAGGAAGAAATTCTTTACTGTGAAGGTGGTGAAGAAGAAGAAGTTGTGGATGTCTCAACCCTGGAAATGTTCAAGGGCAGGCTAGGTGGGACTTTGAGCAAGGTGTCCCAGCCCTTAGCAGGGGAGCTGGAACTAAATAATCTTCAAATGTCCCTTCCAACCCAAATAATTCTATGATTCTATGAATGATGCTTTTTGAAATGACCAGGGGAGTTACTGTAAAAGCAACAGAGCTTTTGTTTTGTTTTATTTCATTCTCTTTCCTTAAAGAAAGTAAGAAAGTGAGAGCTGAGCACTTACTTTCACACATCTCCCAGAACAGTGAGAATTGCTCTCAAACTCAGATGTTGCTTACATAGTCTCAATTCACTTTTTAAATTGATCTGGCAATGGATCAGTGGAATTAAAATGGGAAATTTATTATTCACAAGACCTTTTGTAGCAATGCTTAATGATTTTTAATGGTGGATAAACAAAGGGCCAAAGCTTTTGACAATTTCCTGTCAAATATTTGTTTGAAAAGAGACTACTACTTCTGATCTGCTGGCTAGTTCTCATAAACCTTTAATGCTCTTTGCCAAAATAATTTATATAATGCACTCTAAATAGAATGATGTCATGCACTTCCAGTAAAAGAAATACCCACAGTTGGGTGCATCAGTCTGTTTGGTCTAATATGCCATCATTAACTAGTCATATTAATTGTGTTGAACAAAATTCAGTTATTAGGTTGTCAAAATGTCTGCCTGTACTACACACTTGTGATGCATATTCCATTTAGTTGACTGTTAGTAAATAATCCAGGCTCTACCTCATTTATTATAAGCTCTTGAAAAATCTTGTAACCTCCAGTATCCTGAATAAAAATATCACCACCTAACCCCTCACTTTCTCATTTTCTGATAAAACAGGCCTAGTATGATGCCCCACAAGCGTCCTTTGAGCAAAGAAACAGAGCTCCTGACTCAAATACTTGTGTAAAACACTCTCCCATCATCTCTTGCAAATTTAAACCAGATATCTGAGTTATGTCACTGGAGGAATAGAAAAAGCAAAACCATAGTTAAAGATATATTTGTATCTTGCACCTGAAAAAAACGGGGACTGACGTGGATTTGAGGACACAGTTAGCATGGGCTACAGCTAAGCAGTTAAATCCAATTTAGAAGGTTAAAGATGGAATGATTATGAACTGGGTAGTGTCATGTGTGCAACACTAGGTAATATGTACTTGGCTGTTTTATGGAATATCTGTGTTTAATTTTTTAAAAGGTATGTATCACTGAAATGCAGCAAATAACACGATATGTGTGTTTCTGTGTGTCTTCCAGTGTGTAAGTTTAAAGCACATAAAAGATGTGCTGTCCGAGCAACAAATAACTGCAAATGGACCACATTAGCCTCAATTGGAAAAGACATCATTGAAGATGAAGATGGTGTAAGTACTATTCAGATTTACAGTATTTTCCAAAGCTGTTTCTTCTTTAGGGGAACAAAAAAAAGGCTAAGCACAGAAATATTGCAGTGCGACCCATCGAAGTTAATTACAGGTGGCTATTTTATGGAACACTTGTCAAAGATTAACATAGTATTTAGAATAAAAGTTATATTCCTATCTCACAAGACAAGTCTAGCAACTGCAGGCACTAGATTGCAGCTGTATTACAAGTTTTTAAAGGCCACATGCAGAGAAACTCTGAAGCTGGAGAATTGTTCCCAGAAGTTCCTACTGCTCTTAAGCAAAGGTGGTATTTTGCGCTATTACCATGCTGGTTTTGGCAATCTATTTTGTGTCCTCCTACCTATAGCTCTTCCCCAGGAGGCCTGTTTGGAACTCACTGGATTGCAGGGTGTTTTTTTGGCGATGAAAGCAGGAATTTTAAAATTAAGAGGAGAAGCAACAAAAGCTTTTGAGAGGTTATTGTGATAGATAAGTTATTTTTAAAACACAGCCAAGATTGAGCCACTGTGTGAAACTTTTTCCTGGAAGGTTAGTACTGTGTTGTACACCTGAGAGTCCTGAGTTGCCTGTGGTATTAACAGGACAAAGACTGCACTGTGTAAAGCTTTGCACTGCATTTAGAGACTGCTTTGTAAAGCTGTGACTTATTAGCCATAGTGAGTGAGTGAGTAAAGCCATACAGGTATTTTGCTGTCCTGCCTATTCTTCTGAATTTTGGTTATTTTTAATTGGTTTGTGTCACGTAGTCAACATTAACTGAATGCGAACTTGTTCGTATTACTGAGTGTCTGAATTTAATTGTTCTGTTGTTTCATGGTTAATTGCTACCATAGTACCATGACTGAGATGTGTCTCCCCTCTTCAGGTGTCATGTTTTCTGCCTAGCACGTGAAATACCACAGTAGTCCACATTCATTACTGTTGCCTTGTGCGCATCAGTGTCACTTATCCTGGCTGACCAGCTGCTTCTTTGATGAAAGGGTACAGCTGTGAGAAATAGTCTAAATCCACCTATATTCGAAAGACAAAAGCCTTTAATTTCTATTTCTGAGTATTTAACTTTGATGACTGCTTCTCCACAGATAGCTATGCCTCACCAGTGGTTAGAGGGTAATCTGCCCGTCAGTGCCAAATGCGCAGTCTGCGACAAGACTTGTGGCAGTGTTTTACGTCTGCAAGATTGGAAGTGCCTTTGGTGTAAAGCTATGGTAGGTGCAGTGAACCACGTCCAAGCATCTAGGATTTTGCCAGATTTATTGTTCACCATTATTTTTATTCTGTCATTTCATAACTGTGCTTTTAAATTAAGTAGGAGCTGGCAGCTTCTGCAAACTCAGGTCTTCCTAGCATTCAGAATTTCTGATGACTGTCCTACCTGCTTCATTTAAATTTTAATATGTCCACAGATGCAGTTTTTCTTTAATAGGTGTTGTCATCCAGTGTGTTTTCTCTACCTTCTGCTAGCTGATAACTGAATGTTCAGATGCCTGTTCCTTAAGCCTAATAATCATACGTGACTTTCTTGTATTTTATGTTATATTAATATTTATTAAAATTAGTGTAATAATATTTTCATTAGTGCAAAATCTTGACTTTCTCTTCTTCAGTACAATCTATACGTTGCTGATTGAAATTCTGTAATGTACTACTGCTGTTTCCCCAGAAGGTTTCTCTTTATTTTATGAACTTGTCTAAAAAGATGGGTTTCTTAGGCAAGTCAGCAGTTTATTTATTGTTGAAGCTTCTGGCAGTTTATTTATTGTTGAAGCTTCAGGCTCTGTGTGTAGGCAGTAGGAAATGATTGGCATCTCCAGAGGTGATTTGAAATTTAGGTGAAGTGCAGCAACCTCTGCATATACCTCTCCTTCCAGTATCTGTGGAAGAGACCTCTACGACATGGAGTTCAGGGGACCCACCTTTGGCAGGTTGTTTGGCTTGGTAGGTGTGCTAGATTTAATGCAGATACGTCTTCCAGAGCAGCCTGGTGGGCCAGGCAGGTACAGAGCTATGTGCAGAGGGTGGCTGCTGCCACCAGCACAGATGTTGGCTGCTGGGAGCTTGGTTCTCCCTTCCTCATGGATGGGGGCAAGCGATTCCCTTGAAAGGACAATTCATATCTGCTATAAGCATAACTGAAGATGAAGCTCTTTAAAATAATTTTTTATTGAATGAGTAACAAGCCTTTGCAGTTGAACATTTGTGGGTTTTTTATAGTCTCATTCCTCTTCCATCTACACCTAAATGTTATGTACGAGTCCATTTTTGTTACATAGATACTGTATCAGTTATACTTTCACCTCAAAATTCTACTGGAGGAGAATAACTTTTTGTTTATTTTGTAGGTTCACACTGCCTGTAAAGATCTGTATCCTCGTAAATGTCCACTCGGCCAATGTAAGGTATCGATCATACCTCCAACAGCACTAAACAGTATAGACTCCGATGGTACGTAGTACTGTAGTGTGCTCAGCGGTAGCTCTGGACTTGCAGTGTCTATTTAAATCCATATCAATAAACAAGACTAAAATCCTTCTGCTGAGCAGGTGAATGTAGTCTTAAAAATTTTTAAAGAGAATTATAGTTTTCTGTGTAAGGTTTTAGAGAATTATTTAGCCATCATGTTTTTAAAAATATTTTTGAAAGTTTCCCCAGTAGAGATTTTCTCTCATTTTATTTATGACCCTTAGAAACTTTTCAAGTGAATGATGATAGTCCTCAGATGAAGTGAGCTGATGCCTGCCTGGCATGCACCACTCATTCTGTGAATTCTCAAATTTCAGATAACTTTGCATTATGCAGAGGTAAGCTAGCTGAACAGCTCAGATCCAACAACTACTTTATCAGGCTTAAGAGAGGAAATGTTTCCATAGCTTCTCTAATTTTTTTTTTTTAAATATAAGCAGCATAAGAATCCTGCAACACACAGATAAAAACCCAGCAAATGTTCAAAATTCAGAGGTGTTTTTTGGTGGCTCAGGATAGAGACGCATGAGCAGTGGGAGACAGCAGTTCAAGGCAGAGGGTGGATTTAAAGAAGGAGTATCATGAAATCTCGCCTGCTTTAATTTTATAGTTTGTGTTGTTAGTAAATATAGACCAACAACTATAACACAGTTCAATGAATTGTTACATGGAGTTAGTAAAAGTGATTGTTTATTCTGTATATATTCACTCTATTTACTTGCTTGTGATGTCTTAGACATCATTTTGCTATTTATTATTCATGCTAGGAAGATTGTTTCCTATGTGAAATTATTTTTCTTGGCATTTAAATAAATTACTCAAACCTTATTTTAAATTAGACATTATGATAATGTCGAATTGAATTAGCATACTTTAATGCCAATTTTTTATTTGTAGCTTTAGTATTTTTGTAGTAAGAAAAACAGCAGTAATTTTAATATTGCTGGAGACAAATGTCGAAACCTATACTTGGGTTACCTGATTTTGAGGTGTTGCTGAGAAATCACTACTTCCACAGACTGGTCATGTTAGTGACAACAGTGTACCTTAGTACTACTTACTAAGTAGAAAGCCTGCTGTAATTAGTTAAAACCTGCACTGATTTTTATAAGCTTTGAACTGCAGCTGAAGGTCTGTTGATCAGTGATTCTATTATATTTAATAATATAACTTCACTCTGAAAAGAAAGTTCTTATGCAAAGTCTCACCTGGGAGGAACTGAGTACAAGTAAGTTTTAAAATCTGTGAGTATTCCTAGAATGGTCATACAGACGTGGATGATCCAGGTCATCCAGTTAAGTTAAAGCAAAATAAGATTGAAAACCAAGCTTGTAACTTGTAACTACAATATATATTTAATTATGTGATAATCTGTGAAGATGAGATTTGAGAAGTATTCTAAAAGGTTAATAAACTTCCACTGCTGAAAAACAATAATGCTATTGTCTTCAGGATTTTACTAAATCTAGGCACTGAAAAAAACAGAAAGAAAAAAAATGAACTGGTAGATTTTGCACAATTATGTTTTCCTTGCAGGGCTAATAATCAGTTTAGCATTTACATTATGCATGATAAAATGTACTCCTTTTGTCCTTCATCCCCTCCTTCCTCTTTCTCATGATTTCTTTTTGTGTTGTTCATATTAGAAAATCTTATTTATTTCATTCTTTCTAACTATCTTCACAGGTTTCTGGAAAGCCACATGCCCGCCATCCTGTGCCAGTCCTCTTTTAGTTTTTGTTAACTCAAAGAGTGGAGACAATCAGGGAGTAAAGTTTCTTCGTCGATTCAAACAGTCGTTAAATCCAGCTCAGGTGTTCGATTTAATGAATGGAGGACCTCACTTAGGGTAATGACCTTGGAAATCTTGAGCAATCCTTTCCACAAGGGAATTTAGTGCAAAGTATAGTGTTGTGTTCCCCTTGCTATATAGTGTTATATCCCCTTGTTGATATAATTCTATCACCATTATCTACTCTGTCTTCCTAAGAGATAACAGAATTTCGGGATAAATTCTGGTAGGTGAAGGGATTGTAGGATAATATATTCTTTTTAGAAAAGCTCAAAAATTCAAAACCCAAACCTCTCGGCTAGCTTTGACTAGCTTTGACTTCTGTTAACTGATTAGGCTCAAAACTATTACAAATGTTTAGATGTCTTCCTGCATCAGGGCTCTATGCACAATTGCCTGGGTGCTTTTCTTCCATTTCATGTGTGTAATTCAGATATTCCTATGACTTAGTTGTGAATAGCTATGGAATAAAATTATTATCTAAATGTGCTCTGTATCTTTTTGAATTCTGAACACAAATGTCAGTAGAGGAGTCTCCAGTGGCTGATGGAAAAGTACATGAAAACTTTTGTCTTCTGAAAAGTACATCCAAAATATGTTTAGGCAACATATGCAAATGGTCAAGAAAATTATCATCTCATAGAATTTGGAGCAAGAACACAGTTAAAACTATCAGGCATTTCTACAGAATCCAAGGAGTGATTGCTGGAGAGAGAGGGATGAAGTTTGCATAGTGGTGGCCACATCCCAGGCATCTTTGCACATTCACAAAGATTAAATTCATGCCCATTTTCTGTTGCCCAAATTAATTCCACTCAGATGTAGTGTTGTGGTTAAATGGCCTATTAATATAAGTTATAGCAACTAGAAGCACTAATTTTTGTACTCTTAAAGATGCAGCGTTATGCTTCATGGTAAAAACATAGAAGAAACAAATGCACAAAAATTCAGTTCAAACAGTGGGTAAATAATACAAAAATAATGGAATACAGCTGTGGATTTTTATAATTAGTACTGTGTTATGGACATGTTATATTAACTCTCTAAGTTGTAATATTCTTCTCATTATTGCCCTGACAATCTGAGCTGAATCTAAGTGACTTTTAGCTAATATTTTGTCATGTAATTATAATGACATATAAAAATCGTCTTAATTTGTGAGGCAGTCTTTGAGAGAGGACAGTCTGAGAAGTATGTTTGCAAGTTCTCTTTCTTCATATAGTTGTACCATGGCTGAGGAGGCTCATTTTGGTTTTGCACTGTAATTGTAGGTCAGATTGATTGCTTTTAAAAGATAGGTCCTTAGCAGTTATTCTATCAGATTGTGTTGATGCCTTCTTTTTTTCTAGTTGATCTGCAAGGCAGAGTTGCATTGTATGAGACACTGTATTTTTAGGTGCTTTCTCCCTTTTCTCAGGGTAGGAGAAATTTTTCTGGTATCAATGTTTTTCCCCCTTAAATATCTGCCTCTTTTGTTCTTAATAGGTATCTGTGTACCGTATGCAAGTGACATTATTTTCTTCATAAAAAATATGAATACTTCAAACATTTATGATCTTAATATGTTGCTTTGTAAAAATGGTTCAGAGACTATACATATTCTGGAAAATAACATGCGTTGAAAATAAACATCTTTATTGTTAATAAGAGTTTATACCGTCCAATTATTTTATTTTATTTTATTTTATTTTTTTTCACTTTAAATCCCTGTTGTTTTTACACTTGGCTGTTTCTTTACATCTCATTCTTGTTTCCTCTGCGTCTCACCTTTCTGTTTGTTCTGTCTCTCTTGTCCTCCTTTTTTGTCTAAGTGTTGTATCCTGGGGGTGTTAAAAGTCAGAGAACAGGAGTAAGAGCCATAGGAAGCGAAAGCAGAATACGGCTTTAAGGATCTAATATGAAATACTTGTATTATTTGTCCTATATTGTTGTAATCACCTTATGTTTAATAATTGCCTACAGTGGTCCTTACGTTTAGTTAGCCATGTGTCAACAAAAGCCCACCCGTATTGTGGAGCACATCCTGTCATTGTGTCTTAACCTCTTCTCATGAAAAGTTCCCAGTGGTGCCTTATGCTTCTGACTGAAGTGAGAAGCATGGAGCAATTGCAATTTTATTACTAAGATTTTTAATTTTTTTGTACATTAATAAAATTGATAAAAATAAGACATAAAATCCTGAAAACAATATCAAGAGAATTTTTAAAAGAAAAACTTGGCATGTTATTTATCAGAAATGTCAGTTAAAGTGGAATATACAGCAATGGATGGGCTGCAGATAGGTTAATTAAGTAGATGGTTGTACCCACATACCCCAGAACAATAAAAGAAGCACCACAGAGGTACTATGCACCATATTTTCTCATGGCAGTTGCTAATTAATGTACTGCTCTCTTGCTAATGGACATAACCGGCTCTAACAGGCTGCATTTTCTCTACAGTTTGCGGTTATTTCAGAAGTTTGACAACTTCAGGATTCTTGTGTGTGGTGGCGATGGAAGCGTGGGTTGGGTCTTGTCAGAAATTGATAAGCTCAGCTTGCACAAGCAGGCAAGTGTGCATACTTAGTTTCCTTGTCTATACTGACTAGATTTAATTTTGTGTGCTTACCTTTTCCTTGATTTGGTTCTTTGTCATATCTCTGTAGATGGGCCAAACTCCGTAGTTACTGTTAAATGAAAGTTTTTACTGGTATAATCAGGACAAGTTGTATTGGAATCACACGATTTGACTTAAATGCTTTAGACATCCTATATAATTAATATTAGTTGACTGAAGCAGCATTTGGAATCACTTTTACTTTTTCCTTTTAGTTTTCAGTAGTAGATTTTTTCCTGTTTGTGTTTCAGTGTCAGTTAGGAGTGTTACCCCTTGGTACTGGAAATGACCTTGCTCGTGTCCTTGGTTGGGGAGGATCCTGTGATGATGATACGCAACTTCCTCAGATTTTGGAAAAACTAGAACGAGCCAGCACAAAAATGTTAGACAGGTAAACCTAAATGTGATTTACCATGAGATTCAAATTGCATTTGTTTGGTTTTCTGATGGCCTAAGATTAATTTTAGAGACTTGGTGTTCAGTGGTTTGGGTTTTTAAGTGCAGATTTTAGTCATGAGGGAGACAGAGATAGTAACGGGGACAGCTCTTTTAACATGCTTTGTAAACTGTAGAGCCAGACGGACTAGTGGTTGATGGAACTGGGAAGCGTATTGTCCAAAGACATTCAGAAGGTGACATTTTCTTCCATAACTGATGAAACTTCATAACTGCCTGTTACAAGAAGTTGCAAACATTAAGAAATTGTATTTTGAGCAGTTTTATGGACTCCATGCACACTTTTAAACAACATTAAAGGTAGCATGTTTATTTAGGAAACACCTGAACTGTCTGTCCTTGGATGTGGGGGAAAAATCACTTTGTGTGCTTACACTCTTCATATAATTTTCTGAGGCATTAGCTGTGGACAAGATGCAGGGCTAATTTTCTTCGTCAAAAATGAGTCCTTCCCAATCCTTGTTTTGCATGATTTCCATCCATAGGAAAGCAGCAATCCCCATTTGAAAAACATCAGAGAGGCTGATGATCATGTTGTTCCAATGGAGGTCTAGCACTGCTTTTGAGAGGAGTATTTCTTACTCTGTTCCTTTCATAGAATCAACTGGGTTGGAAAAGACCTCACAGATCATCAAGTTCAACCCTTGATCCAAGACTGCTGTGTTTACTAGACCGTGGCCTTAAGTGCTACATCCAGTCTCATCTTAAAAACCTCAAGGGATGGTGAATCCACCACCTCCCTGGGCAGCCCATTCCAATGTCTGATTACTCTCTCTGTACAAAATTTCTTCATAATATCCAACTTAAAACTCCCCTGGAGGGAGAGCCTGGGAGAACTTAAGACCGTGCCCGTTTGTCCTACTGCTGATTGCCTTGGAGGAGAGACAGACACCCACCTGGCTACAACCTCCTTTCAGGAAGTTGGAGCGAGTGATGAGGTCACCCCTGAGCCTTCTCTTCTCCAGACTAAACAACCCCAGCTCCCTCAGCCTCTCCTCATAGGACTTGTGCTCAAGTCCCTTCACCAGCCTCGTTGCTCTGTTGGAGAAGGAAGACCCGACCACCTTACACACATTGGTCCATCGAGCCTCGTTTATTAGCAATAATCAGAAGGCTTATATATGGTACATAATTAGCTCATGCATATTGCAAAACTCAAGCTGCTGATTGGCTGTATTTACTACAAGGCTATTAGCATCTATGCCTCTTTGTTCTCCTAAAAGTCCCTTTGTTCCTCCTGTGATCACCAAGTTATACATTGTCTCTTCTTTGACCATCAAGCTAGAACACCAGATGTCCTGATATCATCGTCAGCGACCTCGCATTTTGCTACTCTAAATACTTCTCCCAAGGGACCAGCTCTTGC